AGTCTGGCCTTTAATATTAATATCTTTAATTTCATTTATAAATTCACTTATCAGCTTTCATTAGTCATCGTGTTAATGATCCGAGGCAAGAAATTTGTCATTTGACGTCAAAAGGCAGATTAAGGGACTTCTAGAGCCTTGGGAAACAGCTTCATGCTGCACCGGAATTATACTGGTTGGCATATGAGACTAATACTATGTATAATTTGCATCTGCTGCTCAGGGGATGAGTGATTATTTTATATATTTAGCAGAAAACAAGAGCATTTCTTAATCATAAATGGTGTTACATTTCCTGCAAACTCTGCAGTATTATGAATCATTGGGCTATAAACATCTTGTTGCCAGAGTGCCTGGTTTTGCATTACCACAGTGGTAAGTCCTGGAGGGTCGGATCCTGACAGCTTGCCTTCTCCTTGAGGGGTTTTACTTCACAAGTGGCTAATTGAAATTAAGCAGTTCCCTCAACACAAGGAGATGGAAGGGACTGGGAGTTGGTTAAGCTTTGCTTGGCCAAAATTGAGCATCTTTGGTCTCTGTTCTCCCTGATGGGAGATGAAGGTGTTGGTAGGGTTTGGAGATGGGTGTCTAAGGCATGAAAATGGGGGAAAAAACTCACAATATTTGCTCAAAATGTGGAACTCATTGGACTGAAAACAGATGAGATATAGCATCCCCAGGCACTGGTCCATTCAGGACCATCACGGTGAGGTTTTATAGATGTCAGGAGAAACCAGCATGTTGGAAGCAGCCTTACCTTGTTCAGCTGTTACTTGTGATATCCGACAAATCTCTGGGGGCTGAGTTAAGGAGGAGGAAGCTTTCTGTGCAGAGACAGCATGGCATGAGTGGGCTTGGGGTTACAAGGCTTTTTTATTTTAATAGTGAATGTCTCAGTTGCATGCAACCCTATAAAAAAGGGTCCCCTCTTGCACTGTCCACCTGCAAAGCCCATTGGCAGCACCAAATTCCCTCCATACACTGCACCTCTGGGCAGAGCCTCCTTTGACATGGATGGGCTGCAGGTAGCTCTCCATGAGGCTGAATGAAGAAAAATTTATCTGTTGTGTCCCAAAAGCGCTTATGGAGCTGGTTTTGCTCAGCCCTTGTTGGCCTGAGTGGGAAACTTCTATATGAACCTGTGGTAGGTTATCCTTGGCTGGACACCAGGTGTCCACGAAGCCGCTCCATCACTCCCCTATTCAGCAGGAGGAGGGGAGGGCAGAAAATAAGACGGAAAAGAACTCATGAGTCAAGATAAAGGCAGTTTAATACAGCAAAAGCAAAGGCTGCATGTGGAAGCAAAGGAAAACAAAAGATTTATTCTCTACATCCCATCAGTAGGCAACGTCCAGCCACTTCCTGGGAAGCAGGGCTTCAGCACACGTAGCAGTTGTTCCAGAAGACAAACGTACTAGTGAATTCACCCTCCTCCTTTCTCTTAGTTCTGTTGCTGATCGGGTGTCATACGGTATGGAATATCCCTTTGGTCAGTTTGGTCCAGCTGTCCTGGCTGTGTCCACTCCCAAGGTCTTGCCCACCCCCAGCCTATTGTCCTTCGGAGGTGAGGCGGAGGCGATGTTGGAGAGGCAGCCCCGATGCTGTGTGAGCATTGCTCAGTGACAGCCAAAACACTGGTGTGTGATCAACACCTTTCTGCTACCAATACACAGCACAACGCTTTGAGGGCTACTAAGGGGAAAATCAATCCCATTTCAGTCCGACCCAACACTGAACCTGAAATAATGGTTATATCGTGTGTCAAGTGCAGCTCTGGGAGAGCCCGGAGGTGGCAACAAACCTGGCTGCGGGCTGCAGGCTGACCTACACTGTCTGGCATTACGATCACCAGTGAGAGAATCTGTCCTGGGTGGGGAAATGACAGCCTGGGTGAATCCGAGTGGGCGTGGGGCAGCTGGAGGTTGGGGTGAGGTGGGGAGATGGAGCCCTTCAACCTTCTATCTGCAAGGGCTTAAGGGTCACCCACAGTCCAGGGAGTGAAAAGGGCCTGGGGGTGCTGGTCGGCAGCCGGCTGAGTGTGAGCGGGCAGCGTGCCCAGGTGGCCAAGGCGGCCAGTGGCACCCTGGCTGGTGTCAGCAGTAGTGTGGCCAGCAGGCCTGGGGCAGGGATCGTGCCCCTGTACTCGGCACCGGGGAGGCCGCAGCTCCAATACTGGGTTCAGCTTTGGGCCCCTCGCCACAAGAAAGACACTGAGGTGCTGGAGCGTGTCCGGAGAAGGGCAACGGAGCTGGTGAGGGGTCTGGAGCACAAGTTCTGTCACGAGCGGCTGAGGGACCTGGGGGGGTTCAGCCTGGAGAGGAGGCGGCTGAGGGGAGACCTGATGGCTCTCTACAACTGCCTGAAAGGAGGCTGGAGCCAGGGGGGTCGGTCTCTTCTCCCTGGTGACAGGGGATAGGACAAGGGGAAACGGCCTCAAGTTGAGCCAGGGGAGGTTTAGGTTGGGTATTAGGAAAAATTTCTTCACCAAAAGGGTTGTCAAGCACTGGAACAGGCTCCACGGGGAAGTGGTGGAGTCACCAGCCCTGGAGGTATTTAAAAGATGTGTAGATGTGGCACTTGGGGACTTGGTTTAGGGGTGGGCTTGGCATTGTTAGGTTAATAGCTGGACTCAATGATCTTAAAGGTCTTTTCCAATCTCAATGATTCTATGATACTATACTTTGCCTCTCTTATCAAAGCAGCAGAAAACCCCATCGTCCACTCTTATTTCATTGCTCAGCTCTCTGCTTGAGTCCTTCCTAAGTTAAATTAGCTAGTGGTGGCTGGACTGTTGTCTCTGAGGCTGTTCCCTGAATCTGTGAGCTGAAAATGTAGTATTGCATGGGAATTGGGCCCCAAATCAAGGGACGTCACGTCCCAGCAGCAGCAGGGGTTTTCATGGGTGAGCAATGGGTGGTGGACCAGCAGCTCAGCTGATAGCACTTCTATTGACCTGAATTACTGGAGACTAGAGCTGCGTGAAAAAAGAGATATCTGGTTTTGATGATGATTATTATTTTCCGGTTCGCTGGCTGAAAATTTATTTTCCTGGTTTTATATTGTCTCTGAGTTTTTCAGCAAAAAAAAGGGGGGGGGGGGGGGGGCAGATGGAAGGGCTTTTAAATGATCCATTTGAAGTGAGACGAAATAGGCCACTACTCCAGAAGTGAAATGCTATCTTATGGCAGAAAATGAAACAACATCAACTGGATGCAGGGAATAAAACCAATTCATCATAATCTTTCAGTTGGGTTTTTCATACAGAAGTATTTAACCTAGTCATGTTTTTTTCCATATCCAAGAAATGGATTCTGTGTTTTGTATTCATTTGGAAAGCATGCAATGGACAGGAATAGACTGTCCTAGTCCTCCATGTTCTTGTACCATGAAACTGTGTTGTGACTTTAGTGTGTGCAGAAATTGGACTTAATCAACAGAGACTACTTGAATGCCTGAGATGAGTCTTGTAGAAGCAATGGCTGTTCCCAGAGAGGGAGGTTGCAGAAAATGTAGTTGGCCTCTTACAAAATGAGGAAGGTGATGTCAGCCCCTGCTTCTCCTTCCTTCTCACCTCTATTGTCAGTGAGGGTGGGTTCCGGGCTTGTGAGGACCGGAGGTGGTTTCCAGTATGAAAATGGATGAGAGCTGAGGTCTGGAATGGGATGTGCAACCAGTGTTTTGCTCCTACTAGGTTCATCCACCTGAGTTACTTCAGCCTGCAGAAACAAACGGCACCTTCTCCATGGCCTTGTTTGATTTGAGTAGGAAAATCTGTCTGGCACGTGTGATTACAAACTTGCTGGTGGCAATCCTGGGTGTTTTGTCAAAGGAGAGCACAGAAGCACCCTGGAGATAAGGACATATGATCTTGCCCTGGGACATCTGCAAGGAGAGTCCTGTATTGCCAGATCCAGATGGCACGTGATGCCATCCAGGTGCTTCTTCTACAGGGTGCAGGTGTGTCCTGGGGAAGGAAACTATTACCAGCAAGTAGTAAACAAGCTTAGAAAGACAGGACATGGACCAAAGGGAAGGGAGGCAAGGTAAATCCCCCAGTTCCTTGGACAGAAAGCAGTTCCTTCTGAAAGGAGTTGGGGTGATGTGAGGGAAGCCAAAGTACATTTGTTTGGTGTCCAGTGTGATTGTTCTTCCTGTAACAAGCAATTTTGAGCCCCATTAGCAAAATCAAGGACCAGACCTCAACAACGTCCAGGAAGCTCATAGCAGTTTTGAGGATATGTTACACTGGCTTGTGCATTCACCCAGAGTGTGTGGGACTGGCTGTGCTCAACCCCTGTCCTTGTCCTAAGTTTCCTTAACCACAGCCCAGCATCTCTTACTGGAACTCCTTCTACTGGAAATTGAGCAGAGGAGGTCTTTTCAGCCTGCTCTGACCTTGATACTGGCAGTCCCAAGCTTAGACCCATCCTCTGGCTCTTTGTAGAGACATAGCATTTGCCTGCTCTTCAGCAAGTGCGTTATGAAGCTGGTTATATGCCAGATGAGAGGTCCTCCTGGCCAGCACTGATGTTGGTATTACCTTCGCATGATTTCTTCACTTTTACAACTCTTTTCCCCCCCATGCTTTATATATCTGCCATGTTTTCCCCTGTAGATGTTTTTTCTTCCTCGCATTCATTCCTCAGGCACCAAAGTCTTCCTCAGGGTTGGTGCTGTCTCTGGAGCTCAAAGCTGCTGGAAACACTGGAGATGCTCAAGCATGCTGGTCTCTGGTATGTGTTGGTGGAGGGGAGGGTAAGGCACTGCTTGCCATGGGACAGTGTGTCCAGAAGGTAGAGGACCTCCTTGAGAGCTCTGTGTGGGCTGAAGGGGTGAGGAAGCTGAAGAACAAGTGCTGTCCTCTGGCTTCTGCATCGGGAGATGGCTGAGATTGATGATGTAATATCTGGTGTAGGGAGGGCAGTGATGGGGTGGCTTATCTCATCATGGTCACATCGGTCCTTTGGCTGGGGGAAATGAGCATCATGGTGGGATGCCAGCTGGGCTCCAGGTACGTGTCCCTCATCTGGCTTCACTTCTAGAAAATACTGCTTTTAGAGGGGGCATGGTTTTGACGGATGCTTTGCAGAAAAATACCTGTGCAAGAGAGCTGTGGCTCTGTCATCACGTTGAACAGGGAGCGCTGGTGCCTCTCCCTCACCTCCTGATTTTGGTGCACCGGCACAACTGGTCACAGCTTTCTGGTCCCACAGTGGGAATGGGAGTCATCAGGGGCCCTTTCACAATGCCCTGCGATTCAGATGGGAAACAGGGGGACAGACATGCTTTGTAGAAGCCCAACTCACTGGCAGCAACCTTTGGGTGGGGCAAGGAGGTGACATCCAGGCCAGCGTGACAGCTAAAGGGCATCAAAGAGGTGCTGGGACCCTCCTGTGATCCAGGGCTTGGCAGGAGGATGGTGAGGGGGAGGAGGGATGCACCAGGGCACCCAACAAATAACCCTGCTTGGAGCTGCCACCTCTGCAGAGGACTTTGGGGTGTCCTCTTTGAATTCAGCCTCTTGGAGGTAAGTTTAATGGAGCGGGTGGGTGCACAGAGTTGGCACCCTGCCCCATGAGCCAAAATGTTCCTCTCCAGTCCATGAATAGACCCAGCTCTTGCTTGCTTTCCCTTTTTTTTTTTTTTTTTTTTTTTTTTTCAGCGTAAAGAACAAGCCCGTTTCTAGTGATGCTGTGACGCATGCACTTTCGCATCGTGCCAGGAAGCTGGAGCTTTGAGAAAGCCAACAAACATAATGAGACTTTGTGATTTAAAAAAAAAAAAAAAAGGATAAAAGCCCAGAACACAACAGTAACATGAAAATGCAGTGTTTGCCAAGGTTCAGACACCAAAAAGCCAGTGGAAAGGTGCTTTTGTTCTTATTGATGCCTGCTGTGAAGGGTCTGCTCCCCACATCTCTTGGGGTTTGGGGTTGGCTGTGGTGAAATTCTTAAGCTGTAGGAGTTGTTTTCCTGGTATGTCCGTGTGCATACCACCTTCCATGGTCAGAAATGTGGCTTTCACCTCTGGTGTCCTGCTCTCTCCAAAGAGCAGGGCTTTAAAATTCCTGGAAAATTTGCATCCGTGGGAGATGGCTGTGATTGATGATGTAATATCTGGTGTAGGGAGGGCAGTGATGGGGAGGCTTATCTCATCACGGTCACATCGGTCATTTGGCTGGGGGAAAGGAGCATCATGGTGGGATGCCAGCTGGGCTCCAGGTACGTGTCCCTCATCTGGCTTCACTTCTAGAAAATACTGCTTTTAGAGGGGGTGTAGCTGAGCTCTGGTGTGGAAGTGCTGGCTGATGGTGGAGGAGGGAGGGCAACACCCAGCAGGAAGCATGGGAGGCTCTCAGGGCAGCATGTGGTGGACCAGAAAGTCAAGGAAAAATGGCAACACAGAGAGAGGTCCCACACCGTGGGCTGGGGTTGCTCGTCAGTGCAGCCTGGTAATGGTTAGGCAAACTGTGGGTCTCCATCACATCCCAGCTGGGCAGGGGTTGGGGGTGGCCATCGACTGGTTTCTACAATACTAAGAGAAAAGGAGATGTTTGTCAAGGAAGCTGAGCTGCTCTGAAGGGCTGGGCACTTTGGTTGAACAAACCACCTCTTGTCATCAAGAAAATGGGGCGCTTGGGCGTGTGGCAACTCTGCCCGAGCTGCACCTGTAATACCAGGGCATCTCTGCATTTAAAACTACAAGCATGTTAATGCCATCAGAGCTTTACACTGCTGTGCTGCTACCCTGAAACACAAAGAACAGAAATCCATACACTCCATTAGAGCAGAAGAGTAAATTACCTGAACCCAGGGGTCCCAGGAGGAAGTTTGCTAGCCATACAGCTTTTGTTGTTTCTCTAAAAAAAAAAAAAAAAAAGAATGATCCCATTGTGTAAAATGACAGGAATCAGTATTTTGCCCATCCCTCTTTCTGTGCGAGGGTATTCAGGGCTTGGGGATTGCCCACAAGCCTCTCTCTGGGGATAGATGGTTGCAGATCTGCCAAATCTTGGACAGCTTCTGAGCCAGCCAGTACCTCCTAATGGAACTCGGTTTGATTTACTTGGTCAAAATGCTCCTTCTGCATGGAGGAACAGGATTAGATGGTTTGTAGTCCATCTTTCTCAAAAGCACAGAATAGAGTTTAGAAATGCGGCATGTGGCTCAGCTGGTGTTCTAGAGACACCGGGCTTTAATTAACATCACTGAGAAGTTCAGATCCCAACTTTAATTCCTTTTTGTTTGTAACTGTGAGCTCTGAGGAGTCAACAAAATTTTGTGTCTTGAACCGATGTTATTTTTTTCCCCAGAGCTGGGCTGAATCCCAAATACACCTTTGTAATTGCTGCTTTTCTCTCTTCTACTTGGTACCTGTCAGAACCACCATCCAACGGACATTATATGGGTTAGTGTTATTCACGCTGTATTATTTCAAGTTGGGCAGAAGTCTTCTCCTGGATTTAGCAGTTAGTGCTGTGAAAAATCTTGTAATCTTTTTCTGCTTTCTCTAAAGGTTCAGTTAAACTGTGAACCGACAATATAATCGGTAAATGCACATCTAGGCTTATTTTCATTCCAGTCTTTGAGTGAAGTCTGCGCTCCTGGTGAGGCAGAGGTGCTGTGCGCTGTGCCACTCTCTGCCCGTGTGTGCATTTACAAGCACACCCCCTTGCAAGTGTAAAGGAGACTTTTGCCATGTTTGTGGTGCTTTCGGAGTTGTAATGTGAAGGCACATACCCAGCTTCCCCAGAAGATGCTCTTAAGAAAACAAACAAGAAAAAAAAAATGCATCTTCCGCTGGGTGGTGGCAGAATAATTCATCTGGGATGGGAAGGGACCTCTGGAGGTCTTCAGTCCAGCCTCCTGCTCAGAGCAGGGCTACCTTCACAGTTATTGAGTGCCTCAGGGACTTGCCCAGCCAAGCCTGGGATATATTCATGGATGGAGATGACAGCACCTTGGTGATGTCTGCGCTCTGGTCAGCAGTCCCTGGGGGTACAGCCACTCCTAGGGCTGGATGGGCAGTCAGATGGCATGGGTAGGGGTGCAGATGTGCTCTCCCCTGCCAGAAAATTCAATGTTGGACACTTCTGTTCTGTGCTGGAGTCATCCCCTCCAAACAATGTCACTTTCCTTGGGCAGGGGGATCCAGTTCCATGGCCACATCTGCACATGGAAGATCCCAAACCACCATGGGTCGGTCCAAGGCCAAGAAGCTGGGCTGTGTCTAACACCCAGAGCAAACCCCAGCTCTCCCCAGAGCACTGGACGTGCTCCAGCCTACCCAAGTGGCACGTGTGGGTCCAGGTGGGCAGTGGGCACAACAGGCTGACCCCCAGCTCCCCAGATCCCCACTTGGACCCTCTGGTCTTCCCTAAGTTTGAGCGAGTGCTTTCGGTCTCCCAGTTTCATTTCTCCATCTGTACAATGCAACAGTGCCCAGCTCGCAGGCCACTGAGTACAAAATTCAGGCAACAAATTAAATGCAGATTATTCTGCTCCTTTGTAGGTAAAATTCCTGGGAAAATGTAAATGTGGTTGGGGAAGAGTGGATTTCTGGTTTTTATCTTCCTTTCTGTGGTTACTATTGAGGAAATATGTTACAGGAGATGTCTGAAGAATTGTATTTAGCCATAAAAATTTGGTCAAGAAATGGATTCAGAAATAAAACAGGAAGCTGACAAAGCTGAGATTTTTGGATGAAAAATAAAACCCTCAATTCTTTCTTAGTGTCATAGACACATACACACACACCTATATATATAGATTTTTAAGAATGGTTTTAGCATTATTTGGTTTTAATCTGCAGGGAGACATTTTCCCAAGATTACCCACTGCAGTAGTGGCAAGAGTGACTCAGGCCCCATCTCCTCTACGAAATCTGCTTAAAAATAATGATCTGAGGGAAAACCTGGCTGCTGACACTAACTGTATGACTTCTTTAGCTAGCTGCTCTGATCGATAGATTTGCTTTCCCCATGTAGCTGATAGATCTTGACTTTTTGAGTCCAACAGTGACTTTTTGCAATGCCAGCTGATACAGGGCCATGGAGACTTGTGGCCACTTCTCCATAGCAGGGGATTTGTCAAAGTAAATCAGATCTGGAGTCACTGAGAGGGAATTAATGTGAAATGCCTTGATGTTAGTTTTGCAGTCTCTTTAATAGTCATAACTATGCTATTAAACTGATCTGCCTGTATTTAACCCTTATTTGTACTCGAGTGGGATAAATGTTTTCCTTTAGGAACGATGAATCTACAGAGAAAAAAAGAGCTATTATAAACCTCCCAAATGCCTTAGCAATAACAACATGACAGCTTACAGCCTGAAACACAGAGTCCTCATGCTGCTGTAGTGCCTTAAAGTCCTATTTCATTCTTTTCCCCACCTCCTCTTCTCCCTCACCCAAATTACACTTTCAAAATGTCTCTAAAACAATGGTGTTGGGCACACAACTGGTTAGACCTTGAGTAGCAGTACACAACTAAGATTGTCATCTTGCTTCATCAGAGCAACTCCTGACTTCAGCCCAAGTCAGCTTCTTCTCCATGTTGTGTTACATGGTGGAGAACATCCTCAACTTGATACTCACATGGGACTTTGATAAGTTAAGGCTCTATAAGAAGTTGCAGCTTGTACTGGTCTGGTATAGACATGAGCTGGCTGCATCCTTGGGTTTGGGTTAATTGTGCTAAAGAGAAACATTTTCTGATGTTTTTGTAGGTCCTCCTTTGCCCACAGGTGATGGTAGCTATACTGCTTTGTTGTAAGCAGGGAGAAAAACTGCAGGTGTGGTGGGCCACTGGCCACAGGATCGTGCTGGAGGGGGTTGGGAAGGTGATGGGGTGGGCACCCTCATTGTTCATTTCTCTGCCATGTGATTGCCAGCTCCTCAAAGCTGCTTCCCGGCCAGGTGCAGGGCCGAAGGGGTGGGAGGTGGGTGTCCCAGTGTTGGTGGCTGTTGGGCTCTGAAAAGCAGACAGAGGCTAGCACCCAGTAGGTCTGACTAAGGTGGACTTATCCTGATCATGAGTCCAGCAACAGGGACGATCCTGTAGCATCTTTAAATCCTCTGTACCGTCTTTGTGGCAGGCAGTGGGATGCAAAACTTTTAACCTTGCTCATAAAGTGAAGGGCAAAAATACATGGCGGGGGGTGAGGGCTGGAAACTGAGAGAGAACAACCCTACTGAAATCTATTTCTTGCTTTCGGGTTTTTTTTTAGGGTTTTTTGAGGATTTCTTTTTTCTTTCCTCTTCTTGGCTCTTTCAATTGCAGCTTGTGCAGATTTGTCACAGGTCAGGAAAACTTAAGTCATGATTCTCAGAAGATGAATGGACTTTTAAAATCAATTCTGTGGTCCCCGGTGTCAGTGGGGTGCCAATCACTGTGTGCTGGTGCTGCCCGGTTCCTCTGCCAGTATCATTAGGAGGCGCGGGCAGCATTCATTACAGGGAGGCTGAGTCTCGCCGCCTGTTAACGGAATTGAGCTGCCTGACCTTAATGTGTGACTGATATTTAATTTTAAGTTTCTGTGGACACCAGCAGGCTGTAACGGAAACAATACAGGCCCAGCAATGCAAAGCCTTAACTCTGAGAAGAGAGCAAAATAAATGAAATTTAGTAATTAATAAAAATCATTTGGGCTTAGAGGTCACACGTGGAACTAGAAAAAATGTGGGTTTTTTTCCACTTCAGAACTGCACATGTTGCTGGTAGGCTCCTGTGTGCTGTGGGGAAGGGCGTGATATAGTCTGTTTGCCCTGGACCAGTGGGAAGTTTTGAGATGCTCCTCAAAACCATCACCCTCCTGGTTGTTTTGCTGAGATACAGAGGCCCTGTACTCCTGAGACCCTCATCCATGGAGTATCTCCTCATGCACCCATCGCCCCATGGGATCCCTCCTTGCAGGTGTGTTACCTGCAGCAGTCAGGCACCCTAAGGTTCCCATCTGTCCTCAGGGATGGTCATCTGCTAAAAATCCATGGGTGCTTGGAGTGGATGTGGTCACCCCCCATCCCCGGCGCTCAGTTGCAGTCCCTGCTCCACTGAGAAATCCAGACAGCAGGTTGATTTGATATGATATGTCTGGGGATTGGGGAGTGTGCACTGGTTTGAGATGCTCCTTTGGTGAGGTTGTCCACTGTTGAGAACATCTGTGTAGCTGGGTCACGAGCTGGGCTGGGAAGGGGCTGTTTTCCTCCCTTTCCATGGGGTTTTTGAGACTGTAGGAAGAAGCATAATCCTCTCTCTGCCTGTGGCTCAGGGCTCTGGGCTCTGCCTGGGACCCAGCACTGGCCAGATCCTGCCCTGTGAGTGCCAAAGATAAAAGGTATGAGTCTGTGTCTGGTCTGGGACCTGGTTTATTGCCCGTTTCCTTCTCCCCATGATCCCCACTTGCCCCTTGGTGCAGCAGGGTAGGCAGGTGAGGTACAGGCAGGGGGTTCCCAGCATGGGGATCTTGCAAGAAAAATTGAAATTGGAGAATGAGCCCACCACCCCAGCTGTTTGGCAGGGAAAACTCTGGTCCCTCCTCAGTCTGGAGTAGATGAAGATGTCTCTCCAGAGCCAGGAGGAAGCTCTGGGACTGTGTGGTGTTAGCTAAAAGATCAAATTACAATTCCCTAAATGCTTCCTGAATGTCTAGGGCCATGACATTGTAAAAGATGCTCTGTCATACTTTGGGAAGGAAAGGTCTCCACACCTGAAGATACAGGAGTGATATACATAGATGAAGCTGAGCTACCTTATGGTCTGTAAATCTGCTGCCCACCTCCCTGGGGCTGACCTCTCAGTGTCCTCCAGGATGAGTCTTCCCTCTCTTGATCATGCATGCCCATGGTCTGCAGGGCAGAAATCCACCTGCTGCTGGGAAAAATGGTGCATGTAAGGCAAAAAAGGGATATTGAGGCTCCTACTGGTAGAAACTCAGCTCTGTTCTTCTCTGGTTCATCTTACTAGCAATAGTAACACATTAATCAGCGTGGGAACCCTCTGTGGGGTAAATGCCCTCCAAGCATGGGGTGATGTAGGAGACCTTGGCTGGTCATAGGGTCCCCACAGCATCACAAAGAGGCAGTGTGGAAGGGAACAGCAAGGCTGTAGCCTGCGGTTGTACAAACACATTTTCATGAGAGATACGCAGAGGAGAGGGTCTGTCCCTGGGTCTACCACCCACCACTTCTGCTGCCCAGACCAGCTCTGTCCTCTGCCCAGTTCCCATCTCCTCCTCTGTAAAACAGGGTGCATTCACCAGCCCAATTCTCCCTGCAGTGAGTGAGCACTTTGCCATCCTCCCCCCATGCCAATTTAAGTACAGAAACAGCTAATTTGGGTGTGCCGTGTTTTGCCACAGCACAAAAAGTCTGCTTAAAGGCCCTGCAGAGAAACCAAAATCAAACAAAT